GAGCCACACCACACACAGACACTTTCCAGGCACTGACAATGATCCAATGACCAGGAAAGATATATGTACTCCCCTCTTGACCTTCCACATTAGTAGGGGCTACCCTGGATGGCAGATCATGTACCACTGACATTATAGTACATGAGAACCCCTCTTCGCTCCCCTAGACATGCATGAACAACAGTGAAAGAGGAGCCCAGAGGAAGCACAGAGTACTGGGTGGCAAGTCACTGAGCAATCTAATGACTGAGGAAAGGTGGAACAAGACACAGCCCTCTGTCCTCTCACTTCCAACATACTTATGGAAGACAACCCCTGCACCACAGCAGACAGTTTTCCATCCCCCATGAAAGCAACATGCCACTGGAGAGCACTAGACAGATGTGTGTGCAGCTTCCCTGAAGAAGGGAGAAATGGTCACACCAGTGTACACAGACTCTCCCATGCAGTCATCTGTCAGTCTCTCAGGGCTGTCTAGACCAAGAGTGATTCACTGGTGGTGGAGATAGAGTGGGATTGGGCTCTCCACAGCTGGAGCAGCAGGCAGGTGTCTAACTCAGCATGTTGACTTGGACAAGCATTTTGGGTTTGAGGACCAGATCTCACACTCAGCTCCCTACACCTGTCTCCTCCAGAACCACAGCCTTAATTCTTAGCTCTAAGCAGCAGCTGCAAACTCACATGGACCCTCCAATGCAACTTCACTTTGCTGAGCTTGAGCATTGTGAACACTCTGAGGCAGAAACTAGGGTGAGGAGGACTGGTAAGGTCTGTGGGTATGTGAGGAGGACAAGGCTAAGGGACCACCCTGTAGCTCTGAGACACACAGGAATCAGTGGGTGGATGCAGTGTGAAAAACTTCCAGATAGTGGATTTGTGCACAGAGCTATCTCTAACATGCAGTGGGAAATTTGCACTGCAAGGAACATGGGAAATTGATGATCTTTTCTCTTTTTGCTGTTGAAGTGTCAGCTGCACACCAAGCTCAAGGAGCAGCTGCAGAGTCTGCACCTGATCCATCTCCAGTGCCTTCACCAGCTCTGGGACCACAGGAAGAGCCAGCTCCCGGAGCCCATCTCTGTCCTCTCAGAGGTATGACTAACAGGGGCTCCACAGCAGGTGGCAGCTCCTCATCTCCCCTGAGGCCAGCTCCTGCTGAAAACTTGAGTTTCCCATCTCCTCCACTATTTTTTTTTCCATTTTCTTGCCCTTACCTCTAAACTCCTTTTAAATATTATGGCATAAATTAATTTTAAACAAATGATAGGATGTCATTCACTTTAATTAGCATACTCAGTGCAGTGGCATGCACACATTCTCAATATGAACAATCTTCAGTTTTGCCCGGTTCCAGAATATTTCCCATAACTTCATTCCCATTTGGACACATTTCCCTCTCTTCCCTGCCAGCCCCAGCCACCACTGATCTTTCTGCCTCTGTGATTTAGTACTCTAGGTTTTCACACCAGTGCATCACAATTCTGTTTGGCCAAGCATTAATGGAAGAGACTAACTGATATTTTTCTTTGATAAAGGGGACAGTCCCAGATAGATCTCTGTTTATAAATAAAACTTAAATACATTCATCTTTGAGGTTGGAAATGCTTTTCCATTTGTTGTGTGAGGTAAGAGACAAATACTTGCAATGCAAAAGGGAATCTGCTCATATGGCCAACAAATGTACAAAATGCGCAGTATCCCACTGAAGATACATTCAGGGCCATGTCACTGAGTGATGCTGTGTCCCCATTTGACTTCAGGTTTTAAGGTAAGTGGGGAACAACAGTGTGGAGGAAATGGGGTGGGGGAAGCAGAACCATTTCCCTCAGCTCCCCTCAGAGCTCTACACAGGGTCCCTTGACCTTTCTGAGCTAAGCATAGAGGTTTCTCCCACACAGAGAGCTGTACAACAACACAAAAAAAATAAAGAAAAATCTGCATAACATTTTAACTTTCTTTTAAGTTGTTCACAGCACTTTTAGAAAAGGAAGGAACTAGGACCCTCCCTACCCTGCAGGTAGAGTGTGCAGGGCACCAGTGTAGGCCACAGAAAGCAGGGAAAGCTTCAGGGAAGCTGAGCTCAGTATCTCTGGGCCCACAGAGAAAGAGGCCAAGGAATCTGATCATGAAATTACCATTGATGCAAGATGGATTTGTATGTGGAAGATCTCAGTTTTTACAATGAAATATCTCTGCCATCAATATGCATACACATGGAGATGTGTGTGAGACAACCAGAGGGACAGAGGCAGCGTGAGGCAGAGCCTGGGAGACTTGCCCATCACTTAATGAATGGAGCTGCAAAGGACTTGAAATGTGAATGCTCTTCTTGGTTGTACTCTCAAATTCCTTTATCATACCATGTCATCTTTGGGTGGGGAAGTGGCACAGTGAACTAATCCAAACCTGGTGACATAGATAAATATACCAAGATTTTCCTTTTTTCTTTTTCTAAATCTGTCATTGGTAATAAGAGAGCATATATTAATGGCATACAAATAGTTCTCCAGTAGCAGAGTCCTCCATGGGCTTGTCATTAGCAGGCTCAGAAGACAGAAGAAGGGTGGGAAAAGCAGAGCAAGGTCCATATAAAGGTGGAAATGACATTTTCCCTTAGTTGAAAAAAATGTCACCTGAGACTACTTACTTAAACCAAAGAGAGATGCCACCTCTTCCCAAGGTGGGGGGGGGGCAGCACAGAGTACAAGGCTGGGTAGGAAGAGAGCCAGGGTTCAGCTGTGTGAGAGGGGATCACAATGTACCTATCAGGGCCATTAGCATGAGTGGTCTGCCATCCACCAGCTCCTCTCTCCTGTCATTGCCTGCTGTGAGGGCCTGTGTCTCTTTACTGCTGGGTGGAGAGAGGGCCAAGACATAAGCATTCTGTCATTTTGTCATCTCAAGAAAGACTCGGGACAAGGCCTAGAACATGGCCTTCTTTCAGCATTTTCTGTGCCTGTAAGTTTATAATTCACTCAGCAGTTTTGCTGTGTGCTACATTCATGGTTTCTAATTTTTCACACCTTAACTGAGTAAAAAAAGAATACGGGTGTCTTTCAATCTCACTTTTTGTAATGAAGACTTAGCAGTACATTTTCCAAGTTAAATGTATAGATGTTGACTGTCATAGACACAGATGTCAAACCTGAAGTCTCCAGATTGAGTTGGAGCCTGGAAGAGGAAGTCCAGGGGTGCTCAGATCTTTGTGGAGATCTTATGTCAGGGGAAAATGGGCCAGGCAGTGGTAGAGGAAACCTTGGCACCAGGGGCAAAAAATTGTGAGGTACAGGCCTCCTGATCCACAAGTCAGCTTCTCAGCAAAGCAGCATACACTGCACACTGGACAGAAGATGGCTGGAATGGCCCTGCTACCAGAACTCCTCCCTGTAGGCCTGAGGCCCCCTGTCTCACTCAGGGAAGCACTATAAGAAAAGGTCAGTCTGTTACACAGCCCACATTGACTGAATGTCTTCCATCCAGGTGCAGATCTCAACTTCCACATGTGGATGCACCACAGCTGTGGAGTAGGACAGGTGTTTGCAGGGAGCAGGTTAGGAGGTGGGGGCACTGCAGGCAAGGTCAGTTTATGAAGCCTGAAATAAGAGATGAGCACCTGACCAGCTCCAGTTTCCTTCAGCAGTAACCACCCAACAAGAACTTTTTGCCTTAAAAGTCTAAGTAACTGAAAGGAGTTACTGCCAAAAATATATACTGTAGTATTAGTTGGAAGATACAAAAGTAAATGGCTGCATCCCTAAGTAAAATGAGAAGTGACTCTTAATGGGAATCTTGTCTCCTTTGGTGTCACTGACCCGCATCCATCAGGAACACACACACTGATGAACAGAGCAAAAATTAATATAGGCAATGTGTCAGCAATCAAAACTCATTAATAACAACAACAAAACCCATTGATAAGATAAATGACTCAGTGAATTTTTCAAGTGTATAATAAAGAATAAATAGTAATTACTTTTGTATTCTTCCTAGAAATTGAAGGGAAAAAACCAACACCAACTTCTTTTAGATGACAAAGTCACCCTGAGAATGAAGCCAGACAATAATGTATTAAAAATAAAATAAAAAACAATTTAAAACACCCTACTGACCAATATTCCTAATGAACATATGCAAGATTATTCAGCTAAATGCTTGTCAGCTAAATTTTCAAGCACAGGCAAAATTTAAGCACCATGATTAACACTCGGCTCAATCTCAGTTATGCAACTACCATCGCACTATAAAAACCATTGAGCATCACTTGCCACTTTCCCAGAATGAGACAGAGCTAACCCTTCAATAGATTTGGAAAAATAGCTTTGAGAAATTCTGAAGTTCAACATTTTGTCATTGTAAGAACTATTCACACACTATGTATAGGAAGAATGGACCTCAGCACAGCAAAGATGATACATGAGAAGCCCATCCCGGACATCGTGCCCCGAGGGTGACAAGCTGCAAGATTTTCTTCTCAGATCAGCAACCAGAAAAGGCTTGCAGCAACTTTCAACACAGTACTCCAAGTTCAAGCCCTAGAATTTACTCAATAATAAGAAATGAAGGCTTCCAAATAAGAAAGGAAGAATTAAGCACTGTTTCTGTTTCCTGAGGACACAACCTTTCATATTAGAAACATATGTCTCCACTGAAAACCTTTTAGAACAAATTCAAAAATCACATAAGGTGCAGGGTACCAGATCCACATATCCTAAACAATTTATATCTATGTGCTTCAAACAAACTGCAACCTCAAATACAAAGAATACAATTCATTTCATAATTCATCAAAAAGAATTAATGCTTAGGAAAAATTTAACCAAACTCACATGTTCTTTAAAATTTGTAGAAATTGATGCAAACAGTATAATAGCACTAACAGAAGAAAACACATACCATGATGCCGGATGGGAAGAATTCATGTTGGTATAATGTACATGCTACCCAGCCCTTTCAAAGTATTCCTGTCAAAATACCACTGATATTTTCCTAGAAATAAAAAAAATATGAAATTTCACAAGGAAGGACAAAGTGTCATCCTCTAGCCATGTAAAGAACATTAAAGGTAGAAGCACAAAATACCTGGTTTCCAAATACATTATAAAGTGACAGCAGTCAAAAGGTTCTTATACTGAAATAATTGGACCACAGATGAAAATGACTAGTCCAAAGACAAACCGACTCATAGAGTCACGAGGAATTTGGATTTGTTTCTTCACTCCATTCCTGTCCTTTCCTATATTTTCCTTTACTTTTTCTTTTCAGGTTCTCCCTCTGTTGATCTGCCCTGAGCTGAAATTAGAGTGTGTTGCAGGCTTGTCTGAAACTCCCATTAATCCTGCTGCCTCAGTGGCCTGAATGCTAACATTGCAGGTATTTTCACCATTCCTTGCTCAGCCAGTGAGTTTTTAATAACACCAGGATGAAAGCACGTCTGGTGGGGTGTCTTGTAATCCTATCACTCTGGAAGGCTGAGGCAGGAACATCATAAATTCAAGGATAGACTCCCCAACTTAGCAACTCATTGAGAAACTCCTCAAAAAAATGAAGACTTTTTGGGCTGGGGGTTTAGCTCAGTGGCATAAGCGCTTGTCTTGCAAGTAGGCAATCATGAATTCCATCACTGGTACCGATAACAAAAAAAGACCAAAAGGAAGACTTTTAAAAGTAGAATGTAATAGAACTTAATGCAAAAGCTCTGTATTCAACGTCTAGAAACTGAATGGAAAACCTAAACCATAACCAAAACAAAACCTTGGAAAGTAGAAGGGAAGGCAACAGTGTTTTATCCTGGCCTGGCCTTCTGGAGGGCAGTGCGCCCCAAGTGGGCTTAACCTTCACATCTTTCTTGGGATTTAACACCAATCATCAATTTCCATGAGTGATCAGAGAAAAAGAGAAAGTGCTTTGGGGATATCAAGCCTGAGACCCCCACTGGAAGGCATTTGCAGTGATATTCTGAAGTGCATGCTGACCACAGTTACAGTTAAAAAGCAGTGACTCTAACAATATTGTTAACTGGATTTTCAGTCCTACTCATTGTGAAAGAAACTGCAGATTAGGAAGGTGGTAGAAAGCTTAACTATATGGATTCTTTCTACAAAGTCTAAAGATCAAAGTCAAATATTTTATTCCATGAATATGCAAAATTGTTTGCCAATTGCCACTCAGAATAATGTACACCTGTAATCCCAGCCCTCTGACAGTGTGAAGAAGGATGAAGGGTTTAAGCCTAGCATGGGAAACTCAGAAAACTGGTGAGACTATGTCTTAAAATCTTTAAAAACAAAATTTTACAAATGTATGAAATTATTGATCATTAAGAAATCCTAGAAATCACTATGCAAGGTACATTAACCACTGTTATTCTACAATTATTTTATCTTTACTAAGAGTTAAAAGAGTATATTTTATATGGCCCTTATTATTATTTCAAAAAAATAGCAATCCCTTGATCAACTTCTGATTCTAAATATAAATTTAGGAGAGGAAAAAAAGCAATGATCACATTCTCTTCACACTGAGCTACTCAAATCCTAAGAAATTATATTCAGTAGCATATCTGCAGTTACCTCTGTAAAATATTCAAAAAAATTGAAACAATGCAAACTTGTCAGCACATCAATGTCTACATGATGGTAAACCTTATGCTAGGTGTGCTGACTAAAGTACATTTGCAAGAAAAACTCACATATGTTTTTATTCTGAATTCACAGGTGATATTTGACTTCATATTTTTAAACTTTTTAATTTTTTCTTCTTTTCTTTCTCTCTTTCTTTTTTTCTTTCATTCTTTTTTTGAGATTGGGTTCTGCTATACAGTTGAAGCTGGCTTTGATCTTCCCTTGTAGCCCCGATGACCTGAAACTTACAACAATCCACCTGCCTCAACCTCTGAGAACAGAAATGACAGGTGTGTACCAACATCACTGACTGTGTTTTCCTTTTAAAATTTTCTCCAAAAAACTTACTCAGAGTTATGTGATAATCTTATATTTTCTCAGACTGAATATACAAAATCAAATCAGAAACCACAGAAAATACAGTTTCAAAATCCTCGCGAACATATAACACAATGTAACATAATATAGCATAGCACAGTATACCATAATAAAACAAAATGAAAAGCAACCACCTAACTCTGCTTTAAACAACTGCTTCCAAAGATACTTTAAGAATTTCTGTTAGCCATAAACTAGTAATATAATCCATTAATTTCACATTTAAGTAGTTTTTCTTTAAAATGAAAGACTGCATCCACTCAAGCCCATGAATAAGAATGGCTGTGGCAGCTTGCTTTCAAGGGTTGACCCAGAAACAGAAGAAATGGACATCAGCCGATGGGTGAGGGGTGCATGAACATGTGACCGCTGGTTTTGTTCAGCCCCCCAATGGCATGTGGTGGCAGCACACTGGGAGCCCAGCATGGAGACACTGCTTGAAGGAGACCAACTAGAGAGCATTTTGCCTGATCAGCCTCAGGGCCATCACCTCTAGGAAAGGCAAACTACCCAGCAGGGACACAAAGCCCATGGTCTGTTTGGGATGGGAGGACTGGAAGTGATATCAGTGGCTATGAGACAAGTTCCCCAGGAGTGATGTGCATGTGTCCTTCCTCAGCATGAGATGATGATGTCCATGGCCTTGGAAAGCCTCCCCTTGTAATCATCACCTGCTCTCCACTCCACAGGATGTCAGAGTATGGAGCTACAGTGTGTGGCTGAGTTAAATACCTAAGTAATAAGTAATCACTCATAGGCCCATGAAAGTCAAATTTCCTAGGAATCCTCATCCCCTGGACAGGAGGAGGTTATAACATGAAACATTCACATACTTCAAAGAAAATTATTATGGTTATTCTGGGAACATCTCCATACTCCCAAATGGAGTTGAAATGAAACTAACATAAACCAAGGAAAGAAACTCATCCTAAAATTTCACAGATCTCTAAGTGAAGCCTAATTCTCAATGAAAAACACTTTATGGGTGGAAATGTGCACTTGGCACCCATCCTGCCACTTCTGAAGCATTTACATTTGTTGTATGAAAAATTTCAAAGTGAAGAAAAGTGTAAAACCACCTTCTGTTTTCTAGTTTTCACTTGCCATTTCTAAGGAACACAAATTTGTTCCACAATAAAAAGCAAAGAGGCATGGGAGGGGGCAGCACAGCTATGGACCCCAGCACATGACACAACTTCCTTGGCAACAGGTCTAAACAGAACTTTGAAGGTTCTGGTTACCAGGCACCTTTGTCTGGTGGCAGTTGACCTTCACCAGCACTTGGCTCATGAGAGTGACCAGTGAATATGCTGTGCTGCTTTCTGAGGCTTTGAAGCCCCAGCTTCTTAACCCTGCATGGGAAAACCACATGAGAATGAGTGAAGGGATGGTTCACTGGGCCAAGATGTTTCAGGAAGCTCACCGGGAACTGCCTAAAATCAAGGGCAGCACAGAGCAGGGCCCAAGAGCCCCAACCCCAAGACACCAGAAAAAAGAGGGAGCCCAGGACAGGTGTCCCTAGACTCAGCAACCAGCCACTGAGAGACACCAACTAGAGGACAGAACATTAAGGCCTAGCCACCTCTGTGAATTCTCCTAAACAATTCCCATCCTAAATCATCAGTATAAGGCCTCTGAGGACAGGCAGTGAAGGCAGATGCTCTGGGGCAGGGGTAGGTGTTGGGAAGTGTAGGTCTGTGCTCCTGTCATGTTCCTACCCAGGACAGGGCTGGCAGGAGGAGAAGGGCAGTGCTCATGTGTATCCAAAGCCTGCAGAGTCATCTCCTATCCTCCTGGGTAGAAGTCTGGGACAGAGCTGTTAGTCTTTGAGGAACATAAGGTTATCTGGGTTCACAAAGTGAAACCTGTGGTGTCTCAGAGTCTCAGGCTTCCTGTTGGATACTGGGCACTGCCCCAACCATGCTGTACACAGGACATTGGCATGGAGGAGGACCCTGGGCCCTGTGTGCCACATCCCTGCTCCAGAGATGAGACCCACAATAACAGGAGGTATTGGCTCCAGTGCAGAGAATGTGAGCAGAAGGGAATGTATGGAGGCCCACACATGACTAAGAGGAACTTTGGGTCTGATTAACCCTTCCAACGCCTCTATCCAGGGCTTGTCAAACACTGGGCCCATGGTCTTGCTCCAAAGGAATCTGGACTGCAAGTGCTCAACTACCATATCCTCTCTACTAAGCCTCTACCTTGTCACAGGCAAGGTCACTGTACACATATTGATGGAAGAGGAGAAAGGAAACAGACACAAAATCATTTCATTTCTTGTCATGAATGAATTCTGCCATTGTACCTCATTTTCTGTACTGGGCCTGGTGTCCAAGGACCATTAGCAAGGCGTCTTCCTCCACTGTCCCCAGCTCTTACACAGCATCACCTCACCAGATGTGTGCTCACCTCAAATGTCAGTCCACTCTGTCCAGTTCTCTGGCACTCATCTCATGGGATTTTTCCATGCACTGCAGGTCCTTTTGCAGGAGCCTCCGGGCTAAATGAGCACAAGAAGAGAGCAGTGAACACAGTGGCTTAGCCTTCCATGGCTATAGAAGAGGAATTTAATTCCTTCCTGGGGCCTTTTCATCAGAATCTTGGGAAATTCTGTGGTGCCACATTAATGGACCTGGATATCCAGAATGAGCCTCCTTTTCTCATCTCTAAAATGGGTGGGCTGTCTTACGACTCATAGGTTTTGTTCATACATAGACTTCTATTCAACCTCTCTATTGAGGTGATCTGAGCATGCTAGTATTTCTAAGTTTCCCTTGTGAAATATAAGTTTTAATAAGAGAATCCCTTTTCTGCAGGGGCCCTCCTGTGAGCCCATTACCACTAGCCTCTGCGGACTAATTGGAGTGTGGGCTTTGCTTCAGCCCTAAAACCTCCTGAGAAGCCATGTGCAGGACACCAATTCCATGTCTACCCACAGTCTCAGAAGTCAGGCAGCAGAGAAACTGGTAGAGGTCTGTACAGGAAGCACGGTGCAGGCAGATGGGCCTCACAGCCTGAAGAAGCCTAAGGAGCTGGCCTTCTGGATAGATACCCCAGGCACAGCCTCTCCTCCTTGGACTTCTCCAGGGCTAAACTCTCTACCCTATAGGCACCAAAGCTGAGAAGGGGAGTTCTTACCTAAGCAGCCCAGTGGGAATTGGTCACTGTGGATTCAGGTCCTGGCCCTATGCAAGGGCCTCAGTCAACCCTAGTTTACAGTGCCAAACAGGTCAGGAATGAGTGGATTGAGAGCTTAGGGTCACTGAGGATGAAATGGGGGCTCCATGCCAAGCAGTTAGCTGTGGCCTTGGCCCCATGAAGACCTGCTATATAGGCTGTGATAATTCTGATGGATGATCTTCCATCCCACCCAGTGACCAACACTTGGTGGATGCAGTTCTGTTCATCAGAAAGGAGATCGGAGAGTCACTCCATGACAGGAAATCTTGAGAATGGCAAATTGTCCATAGCTGTCAGACAGAAAGGAAGAGCAGATAGGTGTTACCAACCCACAATTGTATATGAAGACACACTGTGTGAAAGCACGTTTCTGGGTATTAACCAAGATTCTGTAAGCAGAGCCTGTGGAACCACTGCCCTTTTGAGTTTTGATGTTTGTGGGAGGCCACAGAGTAACCCTTGGCAGCAGAACATATATTGCTCACCTCAAAGCCATTGTTCCAGTCTCCAGGCATCCCTAGTTGTGTGTACAGACCATGCACAAGGAGCTATACAGAGGCAAAGAGAACTGGGCAATGCATCACTCCCTGAGCTAGAGACTGCAGAGATGCAGGACAGACACTGATTGATCCCTCACTTCTCAGATATTCATGGAGTGGCAGCCCTGAGCCTTTGAGTGCAAAGACAGGGCAGATTGCAGTCTCTACCTTCTCCAAGCTGACTTTCACTGGGGAGGGGTAGGGAGATACTGTGTCAGGATTCACTAAAGAATGTAGATGCATGATAAAACTAAGCAAGGTCTCCCTCCCAATGAGACTTCTTTCAGCCACTAAGGGCTCCTTGGGCCCTCACTGCCCAATTGTGGGTGGGTGAGGATGGGGCTGGACATTGTATCAACTGGGCAGGAGGTCCACAAACCCCTCTCTACAAGTGAGATGTGCAGGCAATGTGGGAGGAAAGCCCAGGTCTCTCACTCTGCTGGTTCCCTGTCTGCCCCAGTTCTTCTGTGCTTGAGGCCACATTGGAAGTATATACCCATGTGGATCCCCAGGCTGAGCTTCTCCTGGACCAGCTGGAGCCCCAGAGACTGAGCCACAGGGTAACTATCTCTGGAGTGTAGGATGTAGGGTTGTGGGGAGTTGATGGCCTTGGAACTCAGCAAAGAGCCCAGATGCTGGGTGACCCAGGAGTATGACACACTCAGCAGTCGGTGTGGGGATGCAGTCAGGAGGCGTTCCTGGGGCTGTGTTGGTGCACATGGCTGCCTCTGACAGGCAGTGGGAAGGTTTTGCCCAGGAAGTCCATGGAAAGTTGGCAATCTTTTCATTTCCTGCAACTACAGGGCCAGGCTCAGCCCATGCAGAAGTTGCACCTGCAGAACTTGGGCCAGCTCTACCTGCAGCTCCCTAACCAGCTGTGATCCCAGAGCAAGAGCCAGCACCTGGATTCCTTTGTCCAGCAGCTGAAGTTCTGAGCCTCCTGGTGGCTCCACTCAGGAGCCATCTCTCGAGCTCTAACTGCAGGCAGTTCTTGACCCACACCTGCCATTCCCCTCTCTTCCAGATTTACTTACGATTGTTTTCACAGCTACACTTATTTACATTAGTGATAGAACAAATATAGGTAAAATTTAAGATTTTAGGTTTGTTTAAAATAGTCACCTTGCTGACATTCATTGCATTCTCAATGGTGAGCAAATTTCCCCAAGTCCACTTCCAGAACATATTCTTCAAATTTTACACAATGGTGTTTTCTTTTCTTTCCCCTCTTGCCCCATCCCAGCCACCACTGATTGTATGTCCTCATACTTAACCTATATTGCATTTCCCACATCAGTGCCATAAAGTTTTCTTTGGCCAGGAATGTTGGTAGTGACTATCTTGGGTTAGAGTTAGGTTTAGGGGTAGGTTAGACTTAGGGTTAGGGTTGGACTAAGCTCCCAATTATTGCATCATTACCCACTGTATTTGTCATAAAGAAAGGACAACCGAGACAAAGCAGCACCTTATGCTGGCAATGTCTTGGCACTGAGCTGTGTGCTCAATGCACAAAACTTTGAGAGCAATCACTGGTGGTTGGATTGTACCACTGTGCAAAAGATAGGGCCCAATATGTACTCTGCACCACATGTGCCCTGGTCCTAACACCAACATAATCAGTATACACTGTAAATATGTAGTTAGAAAAAATATACAGTTGTCTGTAAACAAAACACAAAGCAAGAAAATCCACTTCTGACATGTGGGGAAATAAAGAGCTACTGATGAAAAATCTCACACAGGAAATACACACTCTCGTTGGCCAGCAATGTTTCCTTTGTGCAAATGCAAATCTGTAGAACAAAGCATCAGCTGTCCTCAGTCTGCGTCCTTGCTAATGGAATTTTTGTGGCAAATCCTCCTATCATAGGAACATGCAATTTTATACTTTTCTCTATGCACAACCTAACAGAGACACATAGAGGACTCACTGTGTGCTGGGTACCAGAGCTCCCCAGATGCAGATCACACTTGGGGAGACAATGAAACTCACACCACCAATAGCTGGTGATGACTAAGTAATGGAAAGAAGGTGAAAACCAAACACAGGCAAATCTTCTGCAGGAACACTCAGTCTGGCTCCCAAGTCCTGTATTTGTAACTCTGCTTAGACCCCTGATTTCTATCAAAGTGATCAAAACTGCTGTCTCCTCTCTGGCCTCAGGATACAGGCTCAGAAGTGGGTGTAACAGGGACAGCTGGAGGTGCCCTGGCTCCTCTGCAACTGCTGTCTTGGAGAAAGACTCTTGTCTTCCTCCACCTTCCTCCCTTGCCTCTCTCACTACATTTCTTTTTTGTCTTTTTCATTTTTATCGGTACCAGGGATCAAACTCACGACTGCACACTTTCAAGGCAGGTGCTTATGCCGCTGAGCTAAATCCCCAGCCCTCACTACATTTCAAAGGCTGAGCTGCTGCCCAGCAGTCTGGGTGGAGATGCTCAGTGGGGCCTTCAACATAGTTTTATCAGCATAGTTTTATATGTGACATACTGTGTCACATACACACAACTTTCCAGTAAATGGTCTTGAGATAGAAAGATGTAGTAAAAAGTGACAGCTAACTGAAATGAACCCTGCTTTATACACAAAGGCCCCACATCAATGTGGTGGGGGATGAAATATATTAAGTTCTTGCCCCACTCAGTGGCCACTCAAAACTCAGCTGCCCCATTGCTGATCACACAGATTCCTGCCCCACCCCACCAAACTAGGCTAAATCCTCACCAACACCAAGACCAGAAAACTAGGTGTTTTCTTCTGGAGCCAATAGGCAGGAAAGTGGGAATACAGTGGTGCCTGGCAACTAGATGGCCAGACAGAAAAAAGAGATGACAGTGGCCATGACCATCTTACCTGAGGGTCAGTCACTGATACAGAGGAATATTATGCACAGGTAAGCCTTGGGCCAACTCCTTTCCAGGTACTCTCCACTCTTGAAGGACCCAGAGACATACAAATAGCAGGGTGATGACACTGCCATGCCTTTATAACACAGTCATTTGGTTTGGGACAGAACAGAGATGGATGGTAACAGTTGGGAAGAATTTATCCCCAGACACTATTGTGCTGGGGCACCCTTATTTCCCTTCTTTCCAATGTGTGGTCCAGATCTCAGGGCCCTGCTTCAATGTATGGTGCACATAGCCTTTGTTCCCTAGCCAGATCCAATCCTGCCCATCCCACAGGAGCCATTTCAAAGATACTGTTTCTACTTGGATTGTGCCAGACAGAAGCATCTACATTTGTCTGCCCACATATCCAGATATTCACGCATCACATGGTAACACACAGATTAAGTCACCTCCTTAGATGTTCCACAGATAGGGATTTCCAGACTGACTTTGAGACCTCAATTCTGAGCACCATGTTCTGAGGAGAACTTCTAGAGCTGGGAGCTAAAATTAGGGGCTCTTCAGTCATAAGGCCTGGACCAAGTGCAACACAGGCTAGACCCAGCTTGTCCTAGGTGATAACCAATCAGCCATACTTGTGGGAACAGGATTCTCTCTCAGACAGAATGGGATGGGAGGGGCACAAAACAGCCCCTAGGCCAGCCAGCTTTGTACTTTTAGGAGGAGAATGGAATATAGCAGGAGGAGGGAGGGGTGCCTGAGGAATGAGGGAATGGAAGATGGAATAACAGTAGAAAAAGGCCCTGTGTTACTCATTGAGGGACACCTGATTTTGTTACCTACCATACATTTTTTTTCATTTGTTTATTGGTACCAGGTATCGAACTCAGGACCACACACTTGCAAGGCAGGTGCTTATGCCCCTGAGCTAAATCCCCAGTCTCCACCCACCATACCTTTTCGGTGACAGCAGACAACAGTGACACTTGACTTTGGGCAGCTACACATACACTGCCTCCTCCTGTGTAGACAAAGGTTTGTAGCGGAATGAAAAAGACAGTGTGAGAGGATGTCCTGGGCATGTGGTAGTGGTACACACCCTGTGTTGCTCAACGTGGCTACTTGACACAGCCAGGGTCCAAATGCCTCCCTGACCCAACACCCTCAGGCATGGATCTCCATAGCTCATTCAAGAGTGCCACCCTGGGGTCCACACACATCAGAGAAGGGCTGCCCAAATCTATGGGCACCATAGCACCTGCTCCTGCCCTTGTTTTGTGCTCTCCCTCACGGAACTCAGCTACAACATGATGCCACATGTTAAGAACAGATGGTTTGAAGAGTACTTGGCGGGATTCATGTTCAGCAGGGTTTGTGCTAGGGAAGGGATCTCCCTGCCAGCATTAGTGCTGTGCCTGGTTTTAACACATCATGACACATAGGAAAAGTGAGTCCCCATGGGTTGAGGGATCAAGGGAGGCTAAGATATGCTGGTAAGTAGCTCCACTGTGTGAGAGTGGGCCAACAGAAACTATTGTCCTCAGCTTCCAGCCTGGGACTGACTCACCTCAGACCATGGTCCAGGCAGTCTGTTCAAGAACTACATGTCTGCTGCTTGGGGAGCTGTGTTCCAAGTCCACGTCAGAACATTTGAGACCTTTCATGCCCTGTGGGGTACAGAAGAGGAATGGAAGTGGGAAAAATGTCCATCACAGGGCTTAGGAAGTGATCACCATGGCACAGGTATATAACTTGTTGTCCTTTCTAAAGCTGTACCCCAACAGAGATTTTGGCTTTAGGATATGATGCATGGCTTGGAACAAGGCACAGAGACTTTAGTTTTGTGGGGCATTAAAGTGCCCAGTGTCTGTGGCATGAAATTTTCTCAGAGTTAGGGAGGTGAATTGGTATTTTAGTGGGTAAGATCCCCAGAGAGAAGAAACCACATGGAGCCAACATTAGCAACAGCAGCAAGCAAGCATCTTTATTACCCAGCCTGTATATATCAGCCGTCATCAAGCATTACATTCTTGCATAGTGTCACAAACCTAAGCACATCCATGGCTGTTTTTGTTAACTCATGCTTATATAACTATGTCCATGGTGTGCACATGCTAATCGGTAGGGTCAGATCCCATAGGTCTTCATACCTTTTGGTGTTGAAGCAGTGTGCAGTGGTTTCTCACATTCCACCACCTCAAAGATCAGGGAAAATGTGCTTATTGTATGTGACCTATAGGGTGGACTCATGCACACAAAGACCATCACAACAATAAATGTAAAGAATAATACCACTCATCATGCCACAGTGCAGCTTATGGCCACCCAGAGCCAGGTGGATCCCAAGGATTCCCACCACTGCATGAGCAGGTCCTGTTGCAAGGCATCAAGGACACAAAACTCCATGTCCATTTCTTTTAATTTTTTTAATTTAAAGACAGAAAATAAAATTAAAAGAAACAAAATACAAAAAAGCAAAAAAGTGTAGAATATAGAATTCAAAAACATTAACTCCTAAAATTACTAGTTGATACATTACATATTCTCATCTTAAAAACAGTTGTTAAAGTTACAAAAACAAAGCATAAAAAGTCACTAAATACTGAAACATTGATGGCAAACCCTTCTGTTCAGTGATCTAACAGTAGTTTAGTAATATGGTCATCTATCTTACATACTATACATATCATTATATCATTTAGAGCCCATTTCTTTGCTTTTGCTTTTACAATATATACTGTACTTTTTTGGATCCCAATTCTTTGTCAGTTTTTTATTATTTTTTACACTAGAGAGACAATGAGAGAGGATATTCTCAAGTTACTTTCATTTACTTATAAAGGCCTCAAATCATCCTTTTCTATAGCTGAGTAGTATTCCAATGTGAAAAAATACAATTTTTTCATCCACTTGTGGTTGATGGCATTTTGGTTGTTTCCAAGATTTAGCTATCACAACTGTGTTGCACATATCATTGCACATATATCACTGTGAAATTTTTTTTTCAAATTTCTTGGAAAATACCCAGAAGGGGAATAGCTAGATTAAATGGAACATCCAATCTTAGTTTTTTGAGGAATTTCCACACTAATTTGCACAGTGCTTTTATCAGTCTACATTCCCACCAACAGTGGAGAAGTGTTCCTTTTTCCCTTCATGCTGCCAAAATTTGTTTCAGTTTATTTCTTGATGTCAGTCATTTTTTCCAGAGTAAGATGAAATCTCAGTGTCTTAATTTGCATTTATCAAATGACCAATGATTGTGAACATTTCTTTATGCATTTATTTGCCATTTGTATATCTTCATCTGAGAACTGTGTACTTACCTCTGTTGCCCATTTATGGAAACAGTCTTTGAATTTGGGGACTTGACATTTTTCAATTCTTTATATGTTCTGCATACAAGTCCTTTGTCATCTATCCAGATTCTTTCTGACTCTGTGGGCATTTTTTGACTTTATTTGATTTCTGGTTACTTACAAAAACTTTTTAGTAATATGAGATCCCAGTTGTTGATTCTTTGAAGTATTTTCCATGTGCTTGTGTTTTATTAATGAATTCTCTGCCTACTCCTATGTCTCCAAGATTTCTATCTACCATGTCTTCCAGTAGATTTTTGTTTCTTTTTGAATATTAAGATCCTTGAACCACTTTGACTTTAGTTTAGTGTATGATTATAGGTATGGGTCTAGTTTCAGTCTTTAGCATGTAATGTCAATTTTTCTAACACCATTTTTTAAAGAAGCTATCATTTTCCAGTGAACATTTTTAGCTCCTTTGACAAATTTAAGGTGGCTTTGTGTCTTTGTAGTAGTGTTTTCATCTTCTAATCGGTTCTGTTGATCCTCAGGTCTATTTCTTTGCCAGTACCATGCTGATTTTATTATTGTGGCTTTGTAGTATAGTTTCAAGTCAGGAATTGAGATGAGTCTTGTCTTTCTGTTGTTGCCCAGAAATGCTTTCGTTATTCTAGATTTCTTCTGTTAACAGATGAATTTCAGAATTATTTTCTCTAGATATGAAGGTATGTTAATGATATTTTGATTGGGATTGCATTGAAATGTATAACAGTTTTGGAAGTATGGCCATTTTCACAATATTGGCTCTTCCTAACCAAGAGCAAGAAATATCCTTCCATTTTCCAATTTCCTCTTGAATTGCCACTTTCAGAGTTGTATAATTTTCAATATATAGGTGTTTTACAATTTTAGTTAGGTTGATTCCTAAGTATTTCATTTTTTTAGATGCTATTGGGAAAGCTGATAGTTTATAATTTTTCTCTCGTGGAGTTTTTTGTTTGTGTACAGGGATGTTATTGATTTGTGAGTGTTGACTTTCTATCCAGCTATGCTGCTGAATTTGTTTGTTGCCTCTAGTAGTCTTTCAATTGAGATTTTGGGGTTTTCTATGTAGAGTATCATGTTGTCGGCAAATAATGATAATTTAACTTCTTTCCCTAATTTGATTCCTTTTATTTCTCCCTCTTGTCTGATTGCTCTGGCTAATATTTCCAGATCTCTATTGATTAGGAGTGGTAGTGGACATCATTGTCTTGTTCCTGTTTTTAGTGTGAAGGCTTTCAGTTTTTGTCTATTTGGTATAACATTGGCTGTAGGTTTGTAATAAATGGTCTTTAGACTTTGAGGTACATAGCATCTATTCTGAGTTACTGTAGGGTTTTTATCATGAACAGGTGTGGATGTTATCAATAGTTTTTCTGCATGCATTGCAATGATTAGGTGATTTTTATTTTTGGCTCTGTTGATGTTGTGCATCACATTCATTGATTTGTGCATATTGAACCCTCCCTGAATTCCTGGAATAAATCCTACTTGGTTATGTTGTATAATCTTCTTGATGATTTGCTGCATTCTATTTGCTTATATTGTATCGAGAATCTTTGCATCACTGTTCATTAGTGAAATTAGTCTATAGTTCTGCTATTTACTTTGATCTCTCTCTGGTTTTGGAATCAGAATGACACTTGGTTCTAAGAATGAGTTAGGGAGGACTAATTCTCTTTCAATTTCATTGAAGAGTTTAAGGAGTGTTGCAGTCAGATCTCTGAATTTCTTATTTAATTTATCCCTGAATCCAGCAGGATCTGGGCTTTTATTATTGGTAAGTTTTTAATCACATTTTTGATTAATGTAGCCAATATTTGGTTACTCAAAATTGTTATATATTTTGATTGAGCATTGATAGTTCATATTTCTACAAATCTATTTCCTCTGTTTTGCACCATATGTGAGTAGAGATTTTCAAGGTAGGTGTTCATGGTGTTTTGAATTTCCATGGGATCTACAGTAATTTTTCTCTTTTCAGTCCATATTGTGTGGATTTTTTTCTTGATAAGCTTGGCTAGAGGTTTATTAATTTTATTTCTCAAAAAACAGCTCTTTGATTCATTAATTCTTTGTAAATATTTTGGTTTCAATTTCATTAAGTTCTGCTCTAATCTTCTATAATTTCCACTCTTCTATGAACTTTGGGTTTGACTTGCTCTTCCTTTTCTAGAAGCTTGAGATATAGCATTAGGTTTTTTTAAATTTGTGTTCATTCCATTTTCTTGATGTGACTACTTATTACTATATATTTCCCACTTAGGACTGCTTTCATTGTGTCCCATAGGTTGTGGTATATTGTTTCTGCACTTTCATTGTATTATAGACATTGTTTTATTTCTTCTTTAATTTCATCTGTAACCCACTGGTTGTTCAGGATCGTTATTTAATTTCCATGTATTTATGCAGGTTTTTCCAGGATTTTTGCCATTGATTTCCAATTTTAGTGCACTATGGTCCCATAATATGCATGAGTTAATTTTGCTCTATTTGCATTTACTTAAAAATGTTTTAAGGGATAATATATGGTCTGTTTTGTAGAATGTCCCATGTGCATCTGAGAAGAATATATGTTTTGATATGGTTGGGTGGAATACTATGTAAACATGCACTAAGTCTTTTCGTGCACAGGTATGATTCAGTTATGTTATTTCTTTGCTGACTTTTTGTCTAAGTTGATCTAGCTCTTTGTGACAGTGAGTTGTTAACGTCTCCTATTACAATTGTGTTCTTGTGTGTTTAGCTTTTCATGCCCATTAGTATTTGTCTAAAATAGTTGGGTCCTCCTGTATTTGGTGCATATATATTTATAATTGTTAGTTCTTCCTCTTGTAGTTATCCATGTAAAAGTTTGTAGTGGCCTTCATATCTCTTTTAATAATTTTCTGTTTGAATATCACATTGTCTGCAAATAGAATAGCTACCCCTGCTCTTTCCTGGGTTCCTTGTTAATGGAAACTCTTTTCCATGCTGTGACTTTTAATCTGACTTTCTTTTTGAGTCAGATGTATTTCTTGTATAAAACATACTCTGGAATCCTATTTGTTCATGCATTCTGTCAACCTGTTTCTTTTGATAGGTGAGTTGAGTCCATTTACATTTATGGATATCACTAATATATACTGCTTTGACTTTGCCATATTGTGTTCCTGTTGTTGGTTTCCTGCTTTTCTCCATTATTTAGTATTGTGTCCAGCCTGGTGGTTTCTTTCTGTTGTTCTGGAGATTGTGGTCATGTTTACCGCTGTCTTGCATATCTTTCAGTATTCTTTCTAGGGTTGGTTTGATGGACATGAATTGATTCAGTTGTACTTTGTCATGGA